AAGACCTGGAATCTCGTTAAAAACCAACCAAAGGTGCTATTTAAGTCTCCATTAGCATGTTGCAGCTATATTTAATGCAAAGATGGTTGCACAAGTTTCACTGCCTTGGAAACTATTAAAAAAATTATATTTTGCTTGGGGAAATTACCAAAATCTTGGGCAAATATGATTTTTGCTGGCTGTACTCAAATACTCTCCCGAAAATGGAATTTCGTATGGCTAAGGAGTTACTAAAAATTGGCAATTTTCAGCAAACTAGTAGTCTTTCACTAGAACTAGCGGTTCTTTGCTAGAATCACCAGATAATTTATTATATCACTTCCAAAAAACTGTCAGTAGTACCTAAAACCACTCAAAACTCGACAGCTATCCTCCTTTAACCCAAATCTAATGGTTGGGTTGCTAGGCTACTTTGACCCATCAACCCAAGAATTACAAAAATGTCATTGCATATATATATATTATTTTTTCTTCATTTTTTAATATATATTTCAACAGATTTTTAAGAATGTAGCTTCCTTTTCACGCACTAGACCTCCATTTTTCCTTTGAGAACTGTTTGTCTTCAACCTCTCACCCTCATACACCAAAAATCCCCAAAAACCACCACTTTTATCTTATTTTCTACACTTCCAGCACTGCAAAATACTTTTTAGACCTACCAAACATTATGGCTAGGAGACAACATGTTATAGTTTCAGATTTTAGGTTATTTTCTTGAGCATCAGAAGATCAAGTCACAAAGTTAGCATCAAGAATGTGATTAAGTTCTTTATTTATAAGCCCCTATGACGGTCATCCTTCCTTCTCCTATCACTACTTTCAAGTTTATTCTTTTTGTCTTGTTAAAACTTGAGGGGGATTATTATGCTTTTCACCCACAATATGAGGGTTGCTCATTATAGAGTAGGACACAACTAGAAAACCTTAAATTACCAACTAAATATCACAGACATGAGAAGTTTTGTAGGTAATTGACCTTATTACCAACAAGAATAATGTTTGTACATAGTAAAACAGTAAAAGTAATATTAGTTTATACTATTATGATAATTTTGTCAGTGAAATTAAAAAACATCGACAAGGTACTAGTCTAAAAATGTTCTGATAACTACTTTAAGATATGAACTTCATTGCTAAATTATGAACAACCAACTCCACGTCGGTGACTTAAAATCATTTGAAATTGAACATATCAAATGCTATCCATTTGGAGACGTGAAACTTGTCGGTAAAATTTACAAAAAAACTCTCACCTCGGTAAATTTGATCAATTGTTCAGTCAAACATACCATTAGAGATGTGAGGCTTGTTGGTAAAAGATTACAAAGTGAATCACGTCAGTGAGACTACAAGGCTTGCTACAAAGCTGCTGCACCTTGTCTCTAGCCGCCAATGTCAATCTCATCCATAAGTGGAACCATAATCCCCCAACGCCCCCTTGCCTCTCATTTCTGTTGAACCCCGCTACCTTCTCTCAATTTTAGTTTTCTCTCCCAGGCACAATTCCTTCATTTTTTCCAGCAAGGCAAATAGTGGGAAATTCAACTTTTTTCTTTTTCACAATTAATAGATCAAGTAGTGGTAAGTGAGGGTTCAGTGATATCACCATTTCTTATCTATTTTTGTGTTATATCCAAATAGGTTATGCATATATATATATATATATTGTTATAGTTTAGGCCATCAAACAAACTTTTCTAGACACATAGGTGGAATTGCAATTTTAATTTCAACTTCTAATATTCCAACATGTGTCTTGTCGGTAAATTTAAGGAGGGAAATGCAAAATTTTTTCATTTTTACCTCCCACTTAAATTGATTTCCTACTTATGTGTATTATGTTGGTAAACTTATTTTTGACATCATACACATAACGAAGAACCTCTATATAATACCAAAACTCCAGACCCTGCTCATTTTTCCTTTGCTTCCTTCCTTCCTTCTTCTTTTTTCTTTCTCCCTTATCTTTCTCCTCTATCAAATGCTTCTGATTTTTCTTGTTTATAACTATATTATATTCATGTTATTATTTATTTATTTCTTCTCTATATCCTCTCTTTTTTCTCTTCTATTCTTTTATCTTAATTTATTAAACACTAATTTGAGCTATTTAAGTTATTTAGAGTTCTAATTTTCCTTTTTGTATGTTGTTTTTTAGGAAACATTTGGACATAAACATTGAGTAAATAAATTTTATTCATTTATATTAAAATTTATTTTCAATCATATTTTGATTGTATTATTTGCTTGAATTTATATGTAAATATTAAATTAATTTATATTTCATCATTTTTTTTTGGTAAGAAATAGTGCTATATGAATATCATATCTCTAATTGAGGTAATTTTTAATTTTTTTGATTATGCTATTCATTTATATTTTATATTTTCCTTATTATCTATATTTTTTCATTTATGATTTAATCTTTAATTTAAATAAATAGATTGAATAATTCAATAAAGTATAATAAATTTTATGTTTCCTACAAATTAAAAATATATTTAGAAACCTAATTACCGATGTGAGAAAGGTCGGCAACAAGACTTTGACCCAAAGAAGTTAATTTCGCACTGTACTGGTTTTTTAAATAGACCAAAACTATGTAATATTAATTTTTTTAAGTCAAGATTCGATATACTGGCCGAAATTTCGGTGTACCGGCCGGTACACCAAAATTTCAACTAGTACACACAGGCAAATTAAAAAAAAAGAAAAAAAAAAATGGGATTCCCTGACCCAAAACGACGTCGTTTTGGGCTAGGGGCTTCTTGCAATTCCCGGTACACAAAAATCGCCATACAATTCAATTCAAAATTCAAATTTAAAAAGAGTGAATTTCATTTTTGTCCTCAACTTTAATGTTTTACATAATTTTCATTTCTTAACTTTTTTATGTACTTTTTTAGTCCATTCTTCATTTTTTTTAATCCTTCCGTCAATTATTTTGTTAAATTTGTCTAAATATATACATTTTTAGTCCCTTAATTTAAAGTGAATGGAAGAAAAATATGCATATATTAGAAATTGAAGGACTAAAAATGATTATTTTAAACTTATTTTCAATTTATAGAAATATGATGGTTTTAAATATTAGTATCTCTTATCTTATTTTAAAATTTGATATTTAATTTATAAAAATATATATTTATAACTATAAATCGGAAATGGTACGTGAAAAATTTCGATATCCGATACGTACCGTTCCAATAACAAAACCAGTACGCATGCTAGTACAGTATTGACTCCCTTGCTTTGACCTCCATAGGTGGTTTCCTAGTGAATGATTTGTAGACATGATCCACATCGTTAATTTGTCTAAATTACCGACGTAAGGTAGGCTGGCAACAAGACCTCGATCTTTGGTACACACTTTTCTAGTGAGTTACTTGCAAATGTGGTGTTTGTCGATGATTTGAAGAAATTCACCAACATGGCTTTTAATTATGTTGGTGCATAATTTACCGAGGAGACTTATACCGACACCAATTTACTGACATGTTTCAAGTGGGTAAGGTAATTTTTTGATGTAATTTTTGCTACTTACCGATGAGCTTTGTTGTTGGTAAATATATGCATTCTAGTAGTGAGAGTATTTGTCAAGGATAATAAAGGTCACATTCATTGTTTTTACTATTATACTACAAAATATTATGTATAAATGTGCTTCTTAAGTTATAATATTTGATTCTTTATATATTCTCTATACTTGCTGCTCTTACCACAATGTACACCTCCTTTTCATTATTTTGGTGGTTGTGTAATCATTCTTGGCTTTTGATATTTGGTCACTGCTACCCCACTCTCCTGGTTTGGTTGGAAAATTTACACTTTTAGATTTTGTTGGAGAATTTACTACTGACTATCATTGCTAGATAGAGCAAAATGGCCTATGGCACGTAGCCTCTGGCACATGAAACGGGTGCTAGCCAAAAAGACCCTCCTCATTTCTCATAGGTGGCATCCTAGTCGACTTCCACGTCATCATCACTACTAACTCATCAACTCCCACATCACTTGCCCGTTGCACCCCAACACTAATTAAGATTAAAGATTAAAGAAAATTTATTGATCATATTCTTCTACTCTTTTGGGTTTTCTGTCTTAATTCAGCTAATAAATTTTCTTTAATTTTAATTAGAATTCTTTCTTCAAATTAAACTAATCACTTGATTGGATTATAAATATCAAATACAACTGTAATGTATGTGAGAAAGTCATCCATTAATTTTTTTAAGTTTATTAATTTTATTTAAATTTTAAACTTTTAGAACTAAATTGGTACATATTAATCTTTGAGGATTGATTTTGTAAATATTTTATTCTCTCTTTAACGGAGACTCAACAAATTTGGTTAGTTTAGGGACTAATATCTTCAAACCTTTAAGTTTAGGAGTTTAAAACTTAAAAGTAAAACATAAAAGACTAAAAACTTTAAATTTAATAAGATAAGGAACTAAATATATATTTTAGCCAACTTTGAAGACTCTCCTCAAATGACCCAAATTTCCAAACACATGCCGACTGACAACTTTGAAGACTCACCTCAAATGACGCAGAACCTCAAATGACGCAGACTCATGCTAAATTTCAATGTCAATACTATTCATCCACAGAAGACCCAATACTATTGGAAGGAAGACCGACTCCAATACCAATCCATGTCCCACAAAAAACATTGACCAGTAGTAAATATCCAATGATAAAAAATTCATCGGAATAAACCACCAATGCTGCAAATTGTCTCTCATCTTACTCCCCAATGGAAGATATGAGAGATTCAACAGCAGTGCCACAAATTGTGAAGATTGTGAGGATGGTTGTTAAGTTTCATCCGTTGTTAACAATAACCAGTCTAATCTTTAAGGTAGCATTTCTGCAGGATTGGATTGAAGAGGAGGTGAGCAATCAATGGAAAATTCTAAAGGTTTATTGTCAATCAATAATGACAGCACTGCTGGATCCAGTTATTGAGAAGATGAAGAATCTATCCGAAGCCCTCCAGATGTATTTCAACAACGAAGTAGCAAAGGGTCAACTAAAGGCCACGTTGGTAGGTAAACTTGCCTTGTTCTCTGCCACATTTCTTCTGCTTGATACAGAGTTGGGTTCAAAATATGATGAAAAAGGAGTTAAAACGCAGTTATTGTTGCTTGCTGGCGTCCATATTCTAGATAATCCGAAGCTTTGGAGGGAACTTCGAATTCTCCGTGGAAGTTGCGACTGCACTACAAATTCAACATCAAACTTCACTTTCTTTATTCTAGCTCTTCTTTTTGCACGATTTTGTGTTAATTCTTTAAGGAGCCTCAGTTCTATGTTGTGCATCGCAGTTTATTTTCTATGTGTACTTGTGGTAGTACGACCCCGGACAGACTTTGGGTTTTTTAATTTCATCATTGGAGTCATTGGATCCATTACTTACAATCTTTACAAGTTGAAGTTTCCAACATGGATTATTGCCTCCACCTGTTTTGTGTTGCTCAGTTCCAAGAGTTGGATGGATAAATATTGGTTGAACCTGGAAGAAGATCCCTCTACAAATACCATAGCTGGAAGCACCAGTGTGTTTGTGATTTTTACATCGATTGTTGTACGTCCTGCACTTGCCATCTTCACGTGTTCTGTGGTCAAATCTCCTATGTCCGATTATAAAAGCTGGTTAATTAAGCTAATCAGTGTTGTGATTTGGTTTGCTCGGTTCTATAAGTTCTATCCCAATCCCAATAGCTCACTGCCCTCTACAAATAACAAAGGAATCAGTGGTTTGATTTTGATAGTTGTAAATGTTGCACAAGGGATTTTCGCATATGTTGTTCTCACATGTCCCCTGGCCGATTACAAAGATTGGTCATTTGCAGTAATCAGTTATGTTGTTTTTTGTTTTTGGATACGAAGCTTTTTTCCCAAAGATCTTTTACCTTCATCTACAAATACCAAAGGAATCACAGGCATGATTTGGTCTTTGCTGTCTGTCACCAAATATGGAATTGAGGTGTTGGCTGGTTTAGAACCTCGTGTGCACTACAGAGAATGGGTAATTGCAGTAACCTGTTATGTGCTTTGGTGGGTTCAATTACGTACGCCCTTTCTCAAAGATCCATTACAATCCACCACAGTTGAGTTTAAATTTTTGCCATGGTGGACAATGGCGGTATTTAGCATGATTCAAGATGTCGTACCTTGGATTCAAGGTGGTATTTAGCATGTTAAGTAGTAAGTGCATGGGTTAATTAAAAAAAATGTACTTAGATATATGGAAATTTTGTATTAGTTCCTATGTCATTCTCTTTTTCAAGTACTTGTTTATTATATCTTGCATCCTTATTAAAATCTATTGATCATATGTAATGTTGCAATCATTTGTGTTTTTGTCAGTTTGAATTTATTGCAACTAGGCTTTTGTTATATAGATATCAAATGGCAACCCTTTATCTTATTTTAAAATCAATGGTTTTTTACCATCTAATTCATAGATACCAATAAATTGGATTCTCTACAAATTGACCCACGTCTTTAGGGGTGAAACTAGGGAGAAATCAAGGGTAATTTCCTTTTTCCTTTAACCTTAAATCTAAGACTTTTTCCTACCCTATCAAAAAGATTTATGGTAGGGCTTTTGTTTTTTGTTTTTCTTTTTTTTTTTTTTGGCAACCTTGCTCTTAAATCTTTTCATTATTATATATAT